TTCTGATTGAACTCTGTGTTTCTATGGCAGTTAATTTGCCGTCTACCAAGAATCTTCGGATAATTTGAGATGGTTACTACGAATTTATTTCCTTCTGTTTTGTCTTAAAGTGACCAAAAATTCTATTGGCTTGTCTGAATTTTCTTACCTCTCCGACTATTAGTTTGATGTTTTCATTCCCTGGCTTGCAGTCTAAGCACTATTCTGGCAAGGGGTCATCTGGGTTTGTGATGCAGCCGGAAGAGGTAATTTTTATCTGTCTTGATGTCGATGTTCTGTCTCAGCGGCCCGCAGAGAAAAGCCTTTAAGACTGCATTTTTCCTGTTCTTTATGAAACAACCCAGAGTTTTAAGTTCTGTATGATAAATGTGTTTATCCTTTGTATAGAGGATTAAATCTATTGTAGGCTTCATGCCATCTACTCTGGTATTCAACCATCCGTTACATGAATGACTTCCATTTTTACACGTAAGTTGTCTAACATCATCTGGGTCTTCTTTTCGACGTAGTGTCAGTAGTTACTATCTTCACCTCCATCTTCCATGGCCGCTTCTCCTTTCGGATCGCGAAGGCAGACGATTCAAACAGTGCTTCCACGTTCCCGATCCTCTGCCAGAGTCTGAGCTTCGGCAGAAGACAACTGGAGTCTGGAACAGGCTCCTTCCATATATTTGCACCAGATTAATCTTGGCCGTCCCCTGAACATTCTCTCGATCGGATTTGCAAGAAACAGTTGCTTTGCCTTCTTTTCTGAAGGCATTCGCAACACATGGACAAACCATCGCAGCTGTGACTTCTCAATCTGAAAAAGCAGCGGCTTTACACCAAGGCTCTCGCGGATATCTGCATTCTGGTCCATGTCGAGAAGCGTAAGGCCAGCGACTCGTCTAAGAAGGCCCATTTCAGCAGCTTGCACAAGGGTTCGAAGCATTTCAGTCATGGTCCAAAACTCATGATCGTAGGTATGCATGGACATGAAGATCGACTTGAAATCTGACAGCGTAATCTTCACACTCAGCTTTACTTTTATCACTTTTATCTCTCGAACGCAAAAACCACTGACTGCTTCTATCCACCAGTCGGTCTCTTCCTCATATTTTCCAACACCAGTAAGCACAACCCTGAGGTCCGCAACTCATGACCGTAGGTGAACATCGGGGTGGGGGTAAAGATCGACTTGAATACCGAGAGCTTAGTTTTCAGATTGAGCTCTGCTTCCAACGTTCTCCATCCTGTGCCAGACTTTGAACTTCGGCAGAAGACAACTGGAGTCTGAAACAGACTCCTTCCATACATTTGAACCAGGACAGTCTTCGCCGTCCCCCTGCGCCTTCTGCCGGTCGTTTTCGCAGAAAAGAGTTGCTCAGCTTTCCTTTCTGGCGGCATTCGCAACACATGGACAAACCATCGCAGCTGTGACTTCTCAGTCTGGAGAAGCAAAGGCTGTACACCAGGGCTCGCCTGGATGTCACTATTCCAGATCATGTCGAAACGCGTAAGGCCAGAGACTCGTCTAAAAAAGCCCATTTCAGCAGCTTGTACCCGGATTCGAAGCTTTTCAGTCATTATCCACGGCTCAAGACCGTAGGTAAGCATGGGGACAAAGATCGAATTGAACACCTTAGTTTTCAGACTGAGCTCTGCTTTAGTCACAATGGATCAGGCTAGTTCACTCAGAACGCCACTGGCTACTCCAATTCGCCGGTCGATTTCTTCGTCCAATTTTCCATCTCTAGTAAATACAGTTCCGAGGTACTTGAACTTCTCCACCTGCTCCATTGCCTCCCCCTTAATCTGAAGAAAGCAATGGGCAGGATAACGAGAAAGCACCAGGCATTTCGTTTTAGATGCGTTCATACGCATGCCAGTCACGTCGTTCTCGGCTGCGAACCTTTCTGTGGAGTACTGTAGATCAGTTTCAGAAGATGCTAATAAAACAAGGTCGTCTGCAAACAGCAACCTTCTCGTTTTCACATCTCCTTCACTGATACACCCATTTCCTTTGCTGTTCCTGACTATTCTATTCATGTATAACACAAACAGTAGATTCGACAGCACGCAACCTTGGCGAGATAGTCATATCCGTTATCAGCTATAGGCGAGTCTTTATGCAGTTGCTCAGAGATATGGAGTTTATCAGTATATTTTCTCCATCGCCGAATCATATTCTCATCCTCCGTAAAAGGATGTCGAGACTTGCCCTTCTTTTCACCTCGGAACCGGCGAATGGTCGGCTAGAATACGTTGTTTGCCGTGTGGAAATTCGATTGGAACACCTCACCACACTTCTCTATGCAATCTCCTTTGGATTTCGCCACTGCTGTCACTGCCGCAATACGTATCTCGACATATCGCGCGCGAGTAGAAGGCTCTTAGTTTTCAAGCCATTTCTTGAATACATCCTTCTTGTCGTTAACTGCCAGTTGTACCTTACTTGACCACCAGAAAGTTCTTTTCTGATTTCGAGGCGGCAGGCGAGTCCATTTAAATCCGTAGCATTCGGCGCCTACCTCGAATTTTCCGTTCTTAAAGAGCTGTCACTTGATTTCCACATCATTGGTCACCATCGGGATCTGTAGAAACCGTCGCGCGATGTTGTGTGCAAATTTCTCGCTCGTGTCCACCGTAGATAATGTTTCCAATTTGATTCTCCGGTTTCTTCTGCCACCAGATCTTCTTATGGTACTCCATTTCTTACAGTGCAGCGTACCAACAACAAGGTGGTGATCGGTTGATAGCTCTGCGCCTCTGTTAACGCGAACATCCATTACTGAGAGTTTTAAGTCAAACGATGCGATTATCAAATCGATCATCGACTTCTGTACACAAGCTTCCCGGTGCCAGGTGTACTAATGCACTTTTCGATGCTCGATGAAGGTGTTCCTAATGGACAATCCGCTGCTTGCACAAACCGCAACAACTTCCTGTCGTTACTGTTGAGGTCGCTTGGGCCGTTTTTTCCAATCACGCCTTTCCAATTTTCTGCGTCTTCGAAATTGGTCATTATAATCACCCATTCGAATGAGGGTCTCCGTATTCGCCGCTTCGTACTGGGAACTCTCGATTTCCTTAGGGAAGGAATCATATTCTCCCTCGTAATTGGGCGCATAGAGCTCTAGCAAGGTCAACGCATTAGGTTGCTGTAGCTTTAGTCATAGGATTGCCACCCTTCCGGTGACAGACTACCAATCAGTGATTTTACTGAAGCACCAATCCCGGCTTGAGCGCGCGTAATGATATGGATACCTGTGTATAATGGCTTCCACCTGCATAGGTTCAGGATTCCAGAGCCTTGGCGTTACATTGACGAGAATCCAACAATGCCGAGTTGGTACGGTATGGATTCATCAACTAGCTCTTGCTTTTTTCTTTTGAGTGAGGATTTATTCCAGTTTTCGACTGTAAGCTCCCACTGGTGGTGTCATTATCGTGGAGCCTGTTCTAACAGGCTGTAATTGCATCGCGCTCTCTATCTCCTCCGTTCAGAACGGCTAGCGACTCCGTTGCTGACTGGTATCTTCGTTGTCGTTCCGTCGATCTTCGTTAGCCGTCCTTGTGCTGTTACGTTTACGTCTGGCAGAGGGCTATGAGCCGGTTCTGATCATGGACTTTTCGCTTTCTGCCTCAGTCCCAGAACACCCTTTGCGGTCCTTGGTAACTCGGCCGTCAGTCGATCCCGTATAATTTTCGATTATACCATGAAGGGCAGGTGGCGAAATTTTGCGTAGTTATTATGCTATTATGTTATTATTACTTACTGCTTAGTAAGTGCCTGCACATCGTAGTAAAAATTTCTCTTTATAAGTAAATACGGTGGGTAGTCTCCATTCCTTCCATGCGACCTAATCACCAAAGTGGGGAACTTTTGGGCTTCTTGACGGATTTACTTGGAATGCTTGAGGAGGTCTATTAGCCTCTCCTTTAATTTTTTTTCATTCTTATGATCTTTGAGTTTTCATAATGAACTTCATTCTTGCGTTATAGTGGTTGTAAATGACTTATACTGTCATGCTTACTGCCGGCATTCAGTCTCTTACTTCAGTTGTTCTCCTCCCTTCAAGACTTAGACGGAAAAGTTCACTTTTTTTACAATATGGATATGGTTATGAATTCTGCGAAACAATCCATTACGCACGAATGCTTTAAGTAGCAGTGTTCTATCTCTATAATGATTTAATGTAAAGTTGGAGTAAAGCAGACATTCCGGCTCCGATCTACAAGTCACCGACAGTGGTTCCGTTGCGCATGTGGAGATCGTTCGTTCAGCCTCTCCAAACATTTATTCGCAGGAAGTTTTGCAGAAGAATCTCAATCCTCTTTTCGAAGAGCTGCAATCTATTCGAAATTACTTGGATGAACTCAGAGTACAGTGTTTTTGCGCAGTTTGATATTTTGTTACTCATGGTACTTGTTTATAGTGTCATATTCAACAAGAGTACGCTTATTTTCATGGAGCCCTGCATGAAGAAAAGTATCGATATCAAGTATTCATTTTGTGTGACGTGTTTTATAAGATTTTTCGCCGATTCCGTAGAGGCTTGAAGATCAAATGAACGATTCAACAGAGCTGCATCAGGCAGAGGTTTTAAACCTTAAGCAGGAAGTTCAAAGTCTGGAGGGTCGTCTGCAATACCAACATAGAGAACAGCTTCAGGACTTACAAGATCTGGTTGGACAGATTCAGAATAAGGTATGGTGGCACTGTTCTTAGGACATTTTTTGTTTTCGCGCAGTTGATCCGGAACGATAGTTCCGCAATTCAAATAAGACCTGCCGGGTTCAGTTAGACATATTTTGGTGATTTTTCCTCTTATTTCGGTTGCACGTACGAACAGTATTTTCTGCTGCGAAACGTTATAGGTTTATTTGGTTGATGACCATGTTTGGCGTTTTCATTATTATCTCACGGCTCTTGTGCAACCTAGCATACTTGTATGTAGTCATTAATTTGCGTTACTGTTTATTATGTATCAAGGAACTTGAAGATTTGCAAAACCGACCGAACCGCCAATCGATTAACAGTTTATTTTACTTACGATTGCACTGTGTGTTGGTTGAGTCTGCCTCGAGGTAAGTCAATGATCATCTCAGCGCTAGCATGATGATTCTTGAGCACACACCCCACAGTATGCTGTCCTAACTGTTTTCACCTCATCGGCTTTCTACCCGTTTCTCCTCTTGGTTGTACCGCTGCACAATGACGAAAAGTCTTTCCCCTTATGGTTTAGCAGTTAACAAAAATAGTTAACGCATCGCTTGGATTCAGGTCAGTGTCTCTTTCGTATAAGGACGAACTACCGTTCATTGCCTCTTCTAGTAAATTAGATAAATTTGATGTTTAAAGCATTTGCTATCTGATAACCGATGTACTATTAGTGTATTCAGAGGATTTCAGGCTAATAAATTGCGTTTTGAGGTTTCGGTAATTTGAGCGCGTACTCTAAAGCAGAACTTTAAGGTTGAAGCACTCGAAAAACAGACCAAAGAAATACAGCACGTGGTGGGTATTGAAGG